TCATGCACTTAGCTGGTCTGCCTGCCTTATTTAAATGAAGAATAAGCACTCTTATTAGCATAGAAATCTTTGGTGCTTTTTTGAAAGGCTGAGGGTGGAGGAAGCCAGGCTCCACAGCCGTGGCTCTCAGTCCCACTCCCATTCCGAAGATGGGCCCGTTCAGAGCTGGCCTGAGTGTGCTGTTTGGTGACTTCGTTGTTCTCCACGCTGATTGCCAAGCAGCCCCACTCTGCTGAGCCCCACTCAAAAGCAGCCCATAATCTGCACTATTTGTCATGTGGGCTCCAAAGGAGCGGAAATTGCCCCCACAGCACCTTGTAAATGATGATCTCAAGGATCCTTCTCAGAGTGAGACAGAAAGATTTCTGGGTAGATAGGAAATTTTAAAGAATCTTTTCTCCCTCCTAATCATTAACACCACCACTACTATCATTTCCATAATCATCTTTATAATTATTTGAAGTGGAAAGGAAGCAGGGTACCTGCTTAATGAAAAATAGATGGGGAAAAAATAGAAACTGTGAAGATAGGTGATTGAATAGCCTCTCAGAAATGCACACCATCGTATGTGATTAGTGAGCATTGGAGGGCATTCTTGGCCCCCTAGAAACTTTTCCAGCTGAAACTTGCCTCTCATCTTCTGACACCTTTTGCTCCAGTCAAACTGAATCTCTGATTTCTTACTAAAAAGACTCCCCAGTTACCTACCTCTGTGACTCTGCTTCTGTTTTTCCTCCATCACTCCCACTATAGAATCCTCCATCTGTCTCCTCTTTAGAACTTCCAAAGGCCCTATCTGAATCGCTCTTGAAGCTTTTGTCATTGTCTGCCATAGATAGATAGATACAGATATAGATATATTGACAGATAGAAATAGATAGAGAGATATAGTTTTTTTTTCCTTCTACTAGATTAACTCCTTGAGATACTCTTTGCATTCTTCTCTGCATCTCCCTTGCCCAAGTCATCAGACATGTGCTTTGAACAGAGTAGGTGTTCCCTAAATGTCTGTTGAAAGAATGAGAAGCCATAAATTTACAAACTCACTTTTTTTTAATTGACATAAGTCAAGTGGAAAGGCTTGGGAGGAACTATACCAGTTGTGGCAGAGCCTGCTATTATTCCCAAAACATCTTTTGTCTCCTTCCTGGACACACAGGCAAATAACATTTACCTATTTTGCAGTTAGAGGAGATCTGGTAACTAAGTTTTGGAAAATGTCATGTGAGCAGAAATGCTGTGTCCCACCTCAAGACCTGGCCCCATAAACCTGCACACATGACCCTTCGTTTTCTTTCCCTTCTGCCAGCTTGATGAAGGTTAGCACAGCAATCTTGGAAATCACAGCTTGAAGATGACAAAGCCATAAGTTAGAAGGAAACTGAGTTCTTGAATCATCACACGGAGAGAAGCCCCTTAGCAATCAGTAATACCATTTTGAGATTTTATGTAAGAAATAAATGGCTACCATATTTGAATCATGACCCAGTTTGGGGTTTATTTGTTATACTAGCTAGAATTACCTTAACCAGTGTAATAGGTTCTAGTGTTTCCAGGAAAAAAAAGTACAAAACCCAGCATTCTTGGTGTACATGAGGAAACTGGTTCCCCACTTTGGGCACCGATACGCCCCTTTTTGCCTTCCCTGGAGACTCAGCAGCAGGCTACAGTCCATGGGATTACAAAGGGTCAGTCATGACTTAGCGAATAAGCAACACTAACAGCAAACGCCTCCTTTTAAGTTTGGTTGTGGAGGGAGGTATTTAAAGATCACTCCATTTGCAGACACATGCTCACCCAGCAATGCCCCCACCCGATGAAAGGAAGTGTGACAGTTTGGGGTCAGTCTTCCTAGAAGCTGCTGCACCGAGACGGTGTCCCAGTTCCCGCAGTAAATGCAAAGAAGGTTCCTGCTACTGTGGACGGGGAGAGTTTATGGAGATGGGTAAGAAGCATGACAAAAATTTCTACTGTAGGAATCATAAAACCCAATTCTTTTTGATATTGACCTACAGAACACACTTGTAGTGTTTGGGAAGAGGAGGAAAACTCTGGCTCAAGCAGGTACCACCTGAAACTATTGGACTTCACAGAAGTGTCCTGCTCTTCAAAGACTCCTCTCTGCTACAACCTGCCCAATGTAACCTTCCCAGGAAACATACTTCATTGTTCCTTGTTATCTTATGGATTAAATTCTGAACTCTTTAAGGCCCTCCATGATCTGACCTCAGTTTTTCTTTCCAATCAAATAGATATTTGTCCCATAAGCTGTACTCTTTCCATTCTTTTTCTCGGGCTCAGCACCATCACATATGTATATGTATAAGGTTACATCACATATGTATAAGGTTACATGTGTAAGGGTAATAAACATGTCTGTATAGTATACAAGGACATATATGTTATATAAAACCTTAGTCAAGACAGATTAGGTGGACTTCCCTGGTGGTCCAGTGGTTAGCAGTCTGCCAGCCAACGCCGGGGACACGGGTTCGATCCCTGGTCCAGAGGACTCCCATGGAGCAACTAAGTCTGCACGCCACAGCTAAATCCACGTGCCACAACAACTGGAGCCCTTGTGCCCTAGAGCCCATGCTCTGCAACAAGAGAAGCCGTTGCAATGAGAAACTCGCTCACTGCAACTAGAGAAATGCTGTGTGCAACAACGAAGACAGTGCTGTCAAAAAACCCCCAAAGACAGATCAGATTACACTAGAGTGACAAATTATGCCCCGAATCCCAATAGCTTAGCATGTGAAAGATTTCTGTTTTGCTCCTGCTGCACATCCATTGTAGGGGTTGTGTGTGAGTGTCTGGGCTGGAGCAGGCATTCCTCCTGCATACCAGCACTCAGATACCCAGGCAGATGGCCTTTCTACCACTGAAGCTGCAGCACCTGGGCTGGGCAGCCTTCTCTTAACTGCAGCAGGAGAGAAGGGGACCCAGTAAACTCAGCAGTTTCACACATACTTCAATTACAGGGCAGGGAAATAGAGGAAGTAAATGTAATATCAAGTAAGCATCAGTGTCTTGGTCATTCTTCCAGGAAGCCTCCCTGGTTCCCTCCATCAGCAAATGATGTCTCCTGTGTCTGAATTCTGGTAGCAGTATATGTGCCCCTCCCTTCTAACAGTTATTTTCTATATTGTATGGATACACACACACACACACACACACACACACACACACACACATCCATATCCATATCTATATAAAATAGAAATCACTTACTACATGTCAGACTCCCTGCTGTTTACATTTCTTACCTCGTTTAAATCCTTATAATAATTCTATTATGTAGAATATTTATGTAGAAGTAGTTACTCTTATTGTCTCTGACTTACGAGAGAGGAAACAGGCACAGAAAGGCTAAGTATTCTAACAGGATTCTAGCTCAGCCAGCTGACTTCCACAGCACATGCTCTGAACTACCCTGCTATGTTATGTCTTGTCTTTTGAACTTCTTTATTAACAGAAAGTCAGCTATAAAATGGTCTCATTTAGTTTTTTCCCCTAATGTCAAGTACAGGTTTAGGTGCATAAAAGGTTTTCAGGAAGGTATTGCCCACAACTAGCCCCTTTTCTAATCAAGATCGTCAACACGTCTGCTTTTAGTAGTTTCACTTTCTGCATTGCTGGATTGCTTCTAAGGTCATCAGGAACATTTTAGGAGATGCAATTGTTTCTCCTTAAAAAGCTACAGGTCTTTAAGAAGATAGAAGGGGGTCTTTGGGGACATCTAGGGGACAGCAAGACAGAAGACAGCAGAAGTTAAGGTAAGACACTCAGGAAACACTCGAGCCACTTTATTTATATTGTGTTTGATTTTGTGCTTAAGAGACTGTTAAATTGCAGCAGGGAAGTGTGGCTCCTCAGTCTATTTGGTCTTCATTTGAGTCCCCAAACTCCGTAAATAAATCCAGCTCCCCAGAGAGGACTTTTCTTTGCTTAAATGTGAATTCCTGGTAAACCGTAATCCCCCTCCACTGGCTGTGAGGCTTCTACAAACTAAATTTAGAAAAATTAAATTACAGCCCAGCAACGCGGCTCCCCAAATGAATGTATAGGACAAAGTACCTGAAAACACAGGGGAAAAGGTTCTTCAGAGAGAAGTGGCAGGGACCCTTGATCAATCTCACACATCTGCAATCAGAAAGGCAGCGATCTAGTTCATTTAGAAAGGAATAGGACTGTGTAAACCAATTTAGAAGCATCAGAGCAATGATCTGGGAGAAGAGCCTCGTTCTAATTATGACTTTGTGTTCCAGCCAGGCATGAAAGAAATCACAGTAAAACCTTTTCCAGAGGAAAGCATTCCCCAATGAGGCAGTATCCGATGTCTTCTGCACGGTGAAGGCCAGTGAGTCAGGAAGGAAAACGGCCAGAAAAGGAGCTTTGATGACTAACAAAGAGGGACCGTTCTCATGTTTTGATGGAAAAATTGGTGGGATCTCAGGAATTAATATGGAATTATCAGCCCCTGCTTGGATGTTTTATCCTAAATGTGGGGACTTCTGTGTATTTAAATGGGAGGGGCTGGTGGCACCAGAAGTCTATCCAGAGAAGTGAGAGGACTAAGGGGTACTTTGTCATTAACCCACCCACAGGATTGTTCTGTACCACCCAGCGAATGGTAATAAGTCCAAGTCATCTTAAAATGCACAGCAGACCTTGACTCAAAGTATTTTCTGGACTTAGAAAAAAATTCTTGTTATTTTTACTAGTAACTAGAGATCTCTGGTTTAAAAGGCAAATGTAGCTGGATGTTGGAATTTAAAGGAAAATGGTTTCATGAAAATGGATATGATTTGGGAAGAAAAGGAAGGCTGATGTATCAGTGTTTTGTGTTCATCTTGGCCTTTCAATAACCAATGTTGTGATTGGACCGGCCCTTGTGGTTCTTGTTAAAATTGCAAGGTACTCATCAGCAATAACTACCAGGAAACTTTGGAAAAATAAATATTTATTAGTCAAAAGGTGCAGGAAATTATACCGCATACCTGGAAGCACACACAGCATTGTCAGGAGCAAAGGGAGAGGAGAGAGCGAGAACGCTGGCCTGGACTTCTGCCTTTCTATTGGGCTCAAGGGTGGTGGTCTTGGGTTTTGAGGACTCTTTATTGATGAATCTAAAATGTAAGAGTGGGAAGAGAGGATAAAAAACCAAGCAGCCCAAAAGGTCAGTTACAAAAACCAACCAAGATCTCTAAGGCAAAGGAAAGTCAGTGAGTGAGGTGGCCTGGCTCTTTATCTAGTTCATAGCTGGCAATGTGTTATTTGAGACTGTCATCTTTGAAATGGCCTTCTCTTTGAAGTGGATGCCTCTGTAATCAAAGCCTATGTCAGGCACTTGCATTACAAGAAAGAAAAAAAAAAAAATCCCACCAACTGCCAGGGTTTACACTACAATCAGGTTCTTAGTATATTCATTTATTCAACAAACATTTGTTGGGTCTTGAAATAGACCAGGGATTGCTCCAAGCACTGGGAATGTTGTGGTGAACAAAACAAAGTCCTTTCACTCATAGAGTTTATATTCTGGAGAGAGAGTCTGATAATAAACAACAGGCAGATAAAGTAATAATTGTGTTATTTCTTACTGAGATAATTGCTATGAAGAAAATAAGCAATGCCGTAGTCTGTTCTGGCTACTATAACAAAGTATCATTAAAATACGGTATAAAAATACTGTAGACAGTGCAGCTAATAATTAACACCATTTATTTCTCATAGTTCTGGAGGCTGTGTTGTCTAAGATCAAGGTGCTAGCAGATTTGCTGTCTGGTGAGAACCCACTTCCTGAGTCATAGACCGCCATCACCTCTCTGTGTCCTTTGGTGATGGAAAGGGAACAAAAGAGCTCTCTGGGATCTCTTTCATAAAGGTTCTAATCTCATTCATGAGAGCTCTGCACTCATGATCTAATCACCTCCCAAAGGCCCTAAATCCTAATACTGTCACACTGGGGAAGAGGTTTCAGCACATGAATTTTAGGAGGACAACCTGAATCTATATAGCATAGAGTGAGGAATTATAAAGTATTTCAGGTATCTATTGCCTTGTAACAAATTATCCCAACATTTAGTGGCTTTAAACACAATATTTGGTGGTTTTATTATTTTTCATGATTCTGTGGTCAAAATTTGGGAAGGGCTCAGGTGGCTGGTTTTTCTGCTCCGTGTAGCATCAGCTGGGGTCAACCACTTTGTCACATTCAGTTGGCAGCAGACTAAGCTGAAAGATCCAAGAATGTATTCCTTTGTTTGTATAATTTGTTTGTTTCCTCAAAGCTCATCCATGTGTCTTCTTTCTCTATATGGTATTCAATGGTCCAGTTTGATCTTTACAGCATGGCAGTTTGTCTCCCCAGAGAAACAAAAGTGGAAGCTCCCAAGACTCTTAAAGTTTAGTCCTGAATGGGCACCCTGATATCTACTGTGTGTTTCATTGGCCAAAGTAAGTCACAAGATGAGCCCAGACTCAAGGGTGGAAAAATAGACTCCACCTTCTGATGGACAGAATCCATGGCAGCCATCTTTGGAAACTGTCTAGTACTGAAATTGACTGAGACAGACAGAGCATTTTGTGGTAGATAAAATGACCTTAGGAGATGACATTTGAACAAAGACCTGAATGAAGTGAGAGGCTGAACCATGTCAAAGATGGGGGAGGGATGGTATGCTCTAGACCAGGTTTCCCAACCTCTGGGATCTAATGCCTGATGATCTGAGGTGCTGATATAATAATGGAAATAAAGTGCATAATAAATGTAATGTATTTGAATCATCCTGAAACCTCCTTGTCTGTGGGAAAAATTGTCTTCCACAAAACTGTTCCCTGGTAACAAAGTTAGGGGATGCTGCTAATAGGTTAAGTAGACAGTCCATATAGACAGAGATACAGTCAGATTACCAGGAACTTCGAAGTTTGTGTCTTTGTCATTTATTACAAATAGAATGAGAAGCTCTTGTAGAAGAGTAACATGAAATGGTGTTTGTACCAGAAGGATCACACTGGTTGATGTGTGGAAAATGGATGAGAGGAAAGGAGTAGAGACAGAGGGAGACCAGCAGGTAGGGTTCCTCAGTCATCAGGTGAGATGATGGTGGGGAGGGTTCCTCAGTCATCCAGGTGAGATGATGGTGGGGAGGGTTCCTCAGTCATCGGGTGAGATGATGGTGGGGAGGGTTCCTCAGTCATCCAGGTGAGATGATGGTGGGGAGGGTTCCTCAGTCATCAGGTGAGATGATGGTGGGGAGGGTTCCTCAGTCATCCAGGTGAGATGATGGTGGGGAGGGTTCCTCAGTCATCCAGATGAGATGATGGTGGGGAGGGTTCCTCAGTCATCCAGGTGAGATGATGGTGGGGAGGGTTCCTCAGTCATCAGGCGAGATGATGGTGGGGAGGGTTCCTCAGTCATCCAGATGAGATGATGGTGGGGAGGGTTCTTCAGTCATCCAGGTGAGATGATGGTGGGGAGGGTTCCTCAGTCATCTGAGTGAGATGATGGTGGGGAGGGTTCCTCAGTCATCCAGGTGAGATGATGGTGGGGAGGGTTTCTCAGTCATCAGGTGAGATAATGGTGGGGAGGGCTCCTCAGTCATCTGAGTGAGATGATGGTGGGGACGGTTCCTCAGTCATCCAGGTGAGATGATGGTGGGGAGGGTTCCTCAGTCATCCAGGTGAGATGATGGTGGGTCAGCATAGACTAGTAGTGATGGAGGTATCAGATTCTCGGTATGTTCTCAAGTTAGATCCAGCAAGGTTTGCTGACAGATTGGCTATAGAACTGAAACAAAGGGCAGAATTAAGGTTTACTTCAAAATATTTTTCCTAAATAGCTGCATTAATCATGGGACCATTTCCTGGAATAGAAAAGACATAAGAGGAGCAGGTTTGGGGTAAGGGGCAATAAACAAAAAGAGCTTTGCTTTAGATATTTTAAGTTCAAGGTGACTATTAGATATCAAAACGCAGATTTTGGTGAAGTCATGGACACATGGGTCTAGAGTTCAGGAGAGAGGGGAAACTGAAGACATAAAGTTGGGAGTCATCAGTGTACAGCTGGCACTTAAAGCCATGAAATTGGGACAACTCTGGCGGCCCAGTGCTTAAGACTTCACCTTCCAATGTGGGTTTTATACGTCACCAGGAAGCTAAGATCTCACATGCAATGTGGGACATGCCAGTTCAATTCCTGAATTGGGAAGATCCCCAGAGAAGGAAATGGCAACCCACTCCAGTGTTCCTGCCTGGAGAATTCCATGGACAGAGAAGCCTGGTGGGCTACAGCCTGTGGGATCTCAAGAGTCGGACACAACTGAGCTACTAGACAACAGCAACGAAGTTAAGGGGTGGGGAAATATATATCATGTTGACGACAAGGACTCAAAAATCACATGAAAAAATTCTTAGACAAAATAAAAGTCTTAAAAAAAAAAAATAGAACCAAGAAACTGAATAGGACCTGGGATTCTCAACGTTCAGAGATCAGGAAGAGGAGGGGCAGCCAGAGACAGAAAAGGAGTGACCAGTGAAGGAGAAACAACAAGAGAGTGGCGCCCTGGGGGGCCGAGGAAGGAGGGCGCTTCAGAAACAAGGCGACGCTCTCGCAAGTGGCCGGTGTTGGTCATGGAAGGTGAGAACCGAGATCTCTTGGCTTTGGCCAGTCCAGAAATCTTGGGCAACCTTGACAAAACAAGTTCGTGGAATATCAAGGAAGGAAGAATGGATGAGAAGGTAGAGGCAGCTGATACAGACAGCTCTTTCAAAGACTCGCTTGAAAGGGAAGGAAGAAATGGGTCAATAGCGGGTATGGATAGGCAGGGTTTTAAGTTTATTTTCTTTTTAAGATGGACAATATTCAAGCATGTTTTTACACTGATGGGGCTATACATCACTGATGGGGAGAAATTTCTATTTCAGGGAAAGAAGAAGATACTTGCAGAAACCAAGTTTTTATAGGGAAGAGGTATGGATTCCAGTGCCCCAGAGAAAGGGTTAGCTTGAAACAGAAGAATAGATGGATGTAGATTCAAATGGCTTGGTTGATATCCTGGTTAAATTACAAGGACATTCTTTACTTGTTTTGGTTTCTCTGTGAAAGGAGAAAGAAAGCCATTAGCTGAAGGTTAGGTGGAAGTGCTAGAGATTTTTTGGAGAGAGGAGAATGCTTTAAAAATATAATGGAAGAATTTATTGATTAGAGAATGGGGTAGGATTCTGGGCCCATATGAGGTTAGCCAGTCAGTGTCAGTTGTTCGGCCATATCTGACTCTTTGCGATCCTGTGGACTGTTGCCCACTAGGCTCCTCTGTCCATGGGATGTTCCTGTCAAGAATACTGGAGTGGGTTGCCATTTCCTCCTCCAGGAGATCTTCCCAAGCCAGGGATCAAACCTGCATTTCCCATGCCTCCTGCATTGCAGGCAGATTCTTTGCCACTGAGCCACCAGGGAAGCCAAGGTATGTGGTCATAAATTCATATATTTAAAATAAAATATGGTCATGTATTTTTCTCTAGCCATTTGGACCTGCTAAGGTACATGTATGAAGTAAATGGAGAATTGGGTTTAACAAAAAGTTTGCTTTTTGCCACGTGAGTAAAAAGAAGGCAGTAGGATGCTATTTTCTCTAAAACTGATTGAGGAGTTTTACAAATTTATCCAACATGCGCTTATATATTGGCTCCTATATGCCACAAACTAAGTGCCATGCAGTAACCCTCTTGATATTTACAACAACCTTATGACAAAGATACTTATTTCCCTCCATGAGATGATGGACTGAGACCCAGAGGATGAAAGAACTTGTCTAAGGGCACACAGCTAGTAAGTGACAGAGCCAGGGCTTGAACTTGGCAGTCTGACTCTGAGCCTGTGCTGTTCGCCACTGTGATACTTCTCTAGAAGACTTATAGAAGACAGAAGCAGTAGGGATGGGTCAGGAGGGAGGCGGAGACACAAGGGAAGGGGTGGGCAGTGAAGAGCTTGTCGGGCCAGCGAAAATGAAGGTTTGGTTGGAGTTAGGATAATAGAGGGTGAGCTGGAAAGATGAGAGGAAGTAATCACAGAGTGAAATAGACATTCTTGAAATTGTCTCTTCTTGAAATAGACATTTTGGAGCGGGTG